TACTACACAGCAAAATAGGATGTTTTATATTATATTCGTAAGATGAGTTTTCAAGCCTTCCGCCTACACGTATGATACCGTCGCCGTCTATGAACGGACTCAAAGACGAAAGTCTATTCTTACGAGGTCGATTTACCCTTTTTTAACAAAACGTATTCGTCGGGAAACATATCAATTTGAGCGTTCTGCATTACGCTTTTTAAGGCTTGATCTAATTCATCCTTAGTAGGTAAACCGGTTTGTTTGTTATTTTTGTTTTTAAGATTATATACAAAACGTTGCACATATGACATTACTCTTATAAGACGATTGAAGTTAGAAAATGTATTTATTAAAGATCGAAAACCTGACTCGCGATTCAATCCAGCTGGATTTAATAGTTGTGATGCGTTGTAATGGCAAGTGGATTTGGAAGATGGCAAACCCTTTTCAAATTGTTGTCCAGATTTCTTATAGACAAGTTACAAGAATGCGTAAATTTTGATGATGACTGTATCGGTAGTTGGCCTGTAACAATCCAACCTAATTTTGACTTGACTAACTTAGGCTTGTTTTTCCCTAGGTTAATTGATTTATTGCATATAACATCCCAGAAAACTTCAGCCCCGACGAGAATATCGACTACTGACGGTATGTTAAACGTAGGGTCAGCTAGATGTAGATCTGCGGGCATCGAAAGTTGACTGACGTCTATTAAAGTAGAAGGAAGTATTTTAGTTATCTCCGGTAATATATAACAATCTATATTCGTTCTATACCTACAACACTGGGACTGGATTGTTAGGTTGCAAGCTTGGGTACTAGGTAACGATTGATTATTAATGCCATTAATTTCAGAACTTACGGAACGTGTAGGTAATTTTAGCTTACTGCAAAGCGACTGCGTTATAAAGTTAGCCGTACTGCCGTTATCGAGTAGAAGCCGTGCGTCCATGCTGTTGCCGTTGTCGTCAATCACTTTCACCATAGCTGTGGACAGTAAAACATGCGAAGAAGTAGTAGGTTGTATGGAAGTATTACTCGACAAAGCAATATTATTTTGATTAGCGCAAGCAATGGATGATGAAGATTGGTGAATAGGCAATGCGACACTAGAACTGCTAGGCATCGGGTCTTGAAATGAAGTAGGCTTAGACTCTTCGGTGTGCAAAAGAGTATTATGTTTACTATTGCAATACTTACAATGCGTTAATCGACATCGCTTAGTACCGTGCCCGGGACGTAAACAATTAAAACATATTTTTAATTCCTTTGCCTTTTTTAATCGTTCCTCAACGGTTAAACTACGAAAATGTTCGCATGTAAATAAAAGATGATTTTTTGAACATAAAGGACATGACAAATTATAAGATTTCATGTTGTTATTTTTTGACTGTGCAAAGGAACGACTATTATTTATATTTGATGCGACTATATAACTGTTATTTTTCGAAATTGTTTTATTTACATTTGTACTTTGTTTATTTTCTATAGTTTCCAATAAATCAGCTTTGTTACTAATAAATTCGCAAAATTGTTGCAAAGATGGTGGTTTCGATAAGCCATTACGATATTCTTCCCAATGTCTGCCGGTTACGTCGTCTAATTTGTTTGACATAATGTAAACTACAAGCGTATCCCAATGTTGCGTCGGCTCGTTCAATGTTTTTAAGGCTCGAATATTTTTGTTAATTGTATCAAGCAAACGACGTAAACAAAGACTCGATTCTTTAAAAACCTGTTCAACATTGAACAATGCCTGCACGTGATTATGCACTAATTGACGACTATTGTCATATCGATCACATAGCAACTGCCACGCCATTAAATAATTGTCGCCTTTAAAATCTATATTTGAAATAATGTCGAGCGCCGCACCCGAGAGCGAGGCGCGCAGATAGTGGAACTTGCTTATATTATCGATAGAAGCACTACTATGAATTAATGATAAAAATGTGTCCCTATACTCAAGCCAGCACTGATAACTACCATGAAAGCGAGGTAAATCAATTTTGGGTAAGCGAATAAAATTGCGTTGGAATGAGTCACCTGCTTGTTTGCATATCGAGCCTGCAACAGAGCGGCCATCATCCGTTGCACCTTCACGGCACAACAGACTACGCGCTTGCGCCATCAGCGCGTAATAACGCTCTTCGAATTTTGAACGTTCCTCATATTCGTCCTCTGGCTTGTCGGAACACACCTCAATCTCCACCTGTAATTCATCGAATTGATCGTATAAGGCCTCGTATTTATTTAGTCGACATTGCAATTCATGTTGAAGTTCGGAAATTATGCCAGAAGCGCTAATTGAGTTAATATAATTAGAAAAATTGGTAAGCTTGGCTTTCATGCCACTACGTTTTCGAATTAAAACATCTAGTTGGGCCATTATTAAATTAAAAGGAAAAAAATATCGATAAGTTATACGACGAAGAAAAAAAAAATATAATGTGGGTACTTCACTATTTGGTAATTAGTCGCTCGTAAATGCGTAAGCGTGAAATTGAACAATTATATTAATACAATAGGAAGCCAATTGAAGAGGATTTAGAAGGGAAAATATGGAACGAACTCACTTTATCTTCCCTTGTCCACACAGTACTTCCTTTGTCTTGATGTTCGATGTTTGATTCCGACGACCGTTGAGCCGATGTCGCGATAATTTGCTGCACTCCGTTCGCTCCAAACGTTTTAAATTAGCGGACTGTATTTTTGTTGTTTCTTGAGGCTCGATGGACCATTTGTTTAGGCCAAACACAAGTATTTGGTTGTAATGGTTTAATAAGCGATAAATACAGAGTTGCAAATAGACAAATTGATCGTTGCGCGTATGCATCGGCGGTCGAAATCGGAAGTCCAAGTGACGTTTCGTGCCACCGCACGTCGGTTCGCACCGGTAGTGGTGTTGCCCGCACCTTAGGCGCGAACAACTCTTTTAAAGCAAATTCACTTAACATAATGAGAACATTCTCTAGTTTCACGAATATATGACGTAATCTGTTGTCATTTGTTTATGTACTCACTAACCGACACCCGCGACATTGTCCGCGCTTTATTAAAAAACAACGAATTTTTTTATAAAATATTAAATAAATAATTCATATTTAATCAATTTTATTTCAATGCATTTTAAAATAAAAATATTTTAAAGCCATAAAATCAATATAAATTCAATCACTCCTGAGTTCATAATAAAATTATATATAAATACTAGCGGACCCGACAGACGTTGTCCTGTCTACACGTCTTTAATTTGAATAAATTAATATGAAGTTAATATTTGATGAAAATTGTGAATCTAAACCATTCCCTGATCCCCTTGAACACACACAAAAAATTTCATCAAAATCGGTCCAGTTGTTTGAGAGAAGTTCAGTGACATACACACTCACAGAAAAATTATATATATAAAGATTATCTAAAAAATATAGAAACATACTGTAGCTAAGAGAAGGTGCTGTCTCCTGAAACACAGTATTTACTAGTTCAGGAGACAGAGCCCACAAAATTTTTGTGAAATTTTTTTTTGCTCAATAAAGAATTTTTAATTTTTTCAATACTGTAGCTAGAAAATTAAATTAAATTTGTCTAAATATACATAATATATGACAAAATGTATGAAACTATTGGGCATAATCAAAAAGATATAATAAAAAAAAAAGGTTTTAGACTAATTAGCTTTATAACCGTCGAAAGAAATTTCGCCGTGTAATGGCTAGGAAATAAAAGTCCTCCACTGTAAACAGTATTAGAAAAATAGTTACTAAGTTTTATTTTAGTACCAGTATTTGCTAGAAACAAAGAAAGATGTTACTTAATAGTTCCTGCACCGAAACTAAACAAAAGGATTGTTTCGTTTATTTTTATTGTATTTCGTAAGACGTTGTTTCGCCAGAGAAATGCAATCTGAACACACAATCATCTAAACAAAGTTGAACTCAACATTGTAAGAGGTGAATCTGTAACCTTTTTTTTTTATCTTGTTTTCATAATTGAAATAATTTTATCATTACTTAAGTGTATTTTTATAAGACTGAATTAATCTCTATTTATTTATATACTTTTTGATCTACCTATCTGGATGTATAGCAGTCTGTTAAAGTCTTTTTTTTCTTTTGATTTAAAATATTAGCAGATTTTTTTGTAAATTTACTAATATTTCTTTAACCATTCCAACTAAGCTCTAGGCTTGTGCTAGGATATGGTTTACGACAATAGTCGAATGGCGGGATTCGAAACCCCGACTTCGTAGTCGGAAATCCGTACCCTTACGTAGCTATTGACGCATACTATAGTCTGTAAAAAATCTTGTTAAATTTCACCTTAAATTGACGATAATTCCAAGGCAATTGAAAGAAACAATTCATCGTCATTTTATCAAATAGTTTCTTATTAATAACTTTACCGTCAAGACATTTGGACATTTGGATCCATTCAAAGTGAAAAGAAACGTCGCATTCAGGAACGATAAAGAAAAACAAAGAAACAAAAGGCAATTGTTTAAGAGAAATCTTACCTTTGGGATAGCGAGGGTATTGTCTTGGGAACTGGCATTAAGCGAATTTATGGGCACACTTGTTTATACGAATGTACAAAGGATTATCTTGAATTTGAAGATATATTCGTTTTTAGGGTAAAACTATTCTAGTATTTTACTTTTTTTAAATAAAACTATCTAGAATTACTATCGTAAATCACTACCGCTAGCTAGACTGCCTAGACTCTAACCGAAAGAGCAAGAAGGACGACATATCACAAAATCAGCTGACCTGAAATTTTTACTTTTAAAACATTGATAGTTCCCGTACCATTCTAATCGGCCCAGATATTCTTGTAGATATTGATTTTAAATTATGGCAACAATCAACCGTGTGACAAAGACAGGTGACTTGTCAACAGATATAGCTGCCAGTAATTGACATACCAAGATAATTGCTGCAGCAATTCAACTACTCATATAACCATTCAATTAAATTCTATCTTTATATATATAATTCTTGTGTGAGTGTGTATGTCACTGAACTTCTCTCAAACGACTGGACCGATTTTGATGAAATTTTTTGTGTGTGTTCAAGGGGATCTGGGAATGGTTTAGATTCACAATTTTCATCAAATATTAACTTCATATTAATTTATTCAAATTAAAGACGTGTAGACAGGACAACATCTGTCGGGTCCGCTAGTTGTTCTATAAAATTTATGTGACAAAAGTCAAGCTAGAGGTATATGCATGTTTCTTTACTTATTTGCCTCCTCCAAATCTTTTCATACATAATATTTAATTTCTGTTCATTTGTTTTTTGGACATAGTACATTTGGTATAATTAATAACATACGGCCTTTTAATTTCGATTTGTAGCCATTGACGTAAAAGAAATAAAATGGAATAACAAATTTGTTCATCTAAATTCAAATAGCTTGAAAATCTCTCGATATTTTATAAACAATACATTAAATAAGATGATTATTAAATATTACAGATTACTGAAACCATTTATGGTATTTTATGAGAAACTAGCTGAACCAGCGAACTCTGTTCCGCGGAGGAGGTAGCTTAGAGCTTCAGTAGAACGCACATCTGGATACCCAGGAACCGCATCGCCTTGCTTCCGTCTTTGAAAATTCTTCGATGAAACATTCCAAATATAATATAACTTAATAAATTCGAAAAAAATGAATAAATAGTATCCTATGTCCGTCTCCTGGCTCTAAGCTACTCCTCACCAATTTTCAGGCATATCGGTAAAGCCGTTCTTGAGTTATAGTGTAACTAACACGACTTTCTTTTATATAGACACACAGAATTTTACCACATTTGTGCCTCAATTTATGAGAAAATTTATATTTCATGAAATATTATTTAAAATGGTGATATTCGATTTAATAATGATGTTCAATAAATTTACTAACAAAAGAAATAAAATAGTGTAATTTATAAATAATATATCATTTGATATAAGATTTTATTTGAAATAAATTTACATTTCGTATAATAGCATTTTGCATACAAAACATAAATTTCACCACTTTGTATTTGAAGCTTTTGTCGTTTGTACATTTCGTTCTTTCACGTTAAAATATTGTAGGTTATTTTTGATAAACGAACGAAAAAATTCAGATTTTTAAACAGAAATACAAATGAACAAAAACAGTGACATATTTTGAATATTCATTTAATTTTGTAAAGTTACATTGAAAAATTTACGTATGTATTTAGATGTATTAATGGATGTTTGTTTGAATGTATCTCCGAAACGGCTTAACGAATGTCGCTTAAATTTGGCATAGATGTAGAACATAGTCTAGAAGAACACATAAGCTACTTATATCATTACGTAGGCTACGCACGGACGGAGTCGCGGGCAAGAGCTAGACCATAATATTTAAAAGAATTTTACTTAGTTATTTCGTCTTTTAGTACTTCTGTGTAAATACTAAATCAAACAATAATCCTAACGTCAATAGTTCGTATAATACTGATACATATCGGCTTTGTTCTGACGGAATCAATCTTACTAACAACATGGGCAGCTCTAATCTTGTTGATCTTTGCAAAGTCAACGAGTCTGTTTTTGCCGTTCTTTATTACCTTTGTTAAACTAAAGGGCACTTCTTGGTATCTCTTGATAGCGATTGCCTTTTATTTTATGTCTTAAGCCGACTTTCATGATGTTAAATATTTGGAGCCTAATTTAAGGTTAGAAAACTCCTATACTGCTATACTTCTAAAAGACAATAAAAAGGTTGATAAACACATTCAGATATGGATACAGGAGTGGTAGGTTTCATTTATTACTTCCTTTTAAAATTACTGTTAGGCAAATAGATATTTTTCTTAATTAATTTTCTTCTTAAAAACAAAAGAAGATCATCGGGAGAGCAATTGCCAGACATGAATTGTGAAGGATTTTAAATAAGTTTGTCCAAAATATAATAGAAAAAATAATAAAAGCAATTTGGTACAATATATCAAACATAACAAGCTAAAAGTTCAATTTCACTCTAGGGACTTTTTATAGTTGTACGTCGATCGCTGTTCAAAAAAGGGTCGCTACAATGGAAGCATCGCGTCGACATTTGGGTCAAACGGAACACAATTACTAAGCGAATTTAAAATGCAGATTGTCCAAAAATAAAAAGCTTTATTACGTTGATTTGTTTACGCAGTGAATAAGCATTAAATTTGATTGACGAGTATAAGTAATTAATAGCTATAGATGATTATGAAAATTAGAGGAAAAGAGAAAGACCAAATGAAAGTAACCATCACTGTTGACCATCGAAAATCATGAATGCAACTTTTGTAATGAACACAGATATTATTTTAACAAAGAAAAGACTACACAAGAAGGACGCCTAAAAAAGGAACGTGACTTCTATGCCAGCTGTCGCTCGCGATTCCGTCCGGAATTAAGTTATTAGAAGCCTATCTGCTCTTCCAGGTTATGTTTGCAAGCGAAATTTCAGCGAGATCCAAGCAGGCATTGTGAAGATACCTTCTAGCAAACATCCATCTATCTATATCAGTCTTTACCAAAATGTGCGATAACGCCCCCTTGTGGGAGCTGCAGGTTTCGAGTTGCGGGTCATAGTAAAAGTTTCGTTTAGAATTCTCCGTTAATATACATATATAGGTCACAATAATTAATTAATTTAATTTGAAGTTATACTGGTTTTTAAATATGTGAAAATATGGGGGCGCTAAAAAATATTTATTCTCAAAGTAGGCAGTAGACAAAATAAGTTTGGGAACCACTGATTTATATGGATACATAGATGTATGTTTTGGGTGTATGGACACTCAAATATTAGTAATCGTAATATTAGTAAGACTATCTTAGTCAATCTATTGTTAGTGCTGATTCTATTGTTTTAATTGCAGCTTTA